CCAGCACCAATATCCCCAATACTTTCCCATCTTCCAGCTTATCCTGTTGTCATGAATATAACACATTTATTTCATATTACTTGTCTGTGATGTATTCGATATGCCAAACACAGAAACAGCAAGTCTCACAGTGTTACTGGGCCTGCTCAAGCAAATTGATGAACAACAGGAAGACAGTGCTACAGTGCTCCTTGCCTTTATGATATTTAAAGGATTCGCAAATAAAATTGTCAAAATATAGTAAGTCAATTTTTGATGATTAAGTGATTTAAACCAGTTTAAATAAGATATTAATTCATTATTGAAAATGAATTAAGTCTCTTAGCAAGCTAGGAATCAACATACCTTTCTTACTCCAGTAGAGGGCAACCATAGGGACCATGAGTGCCATAACAATGCCACTTGATCATTTGACATCCCGTTACTCATCGCTTTGCTTGAGTGGGCACCGGTAATGTCTCCATTCGTCCCTGTCATGTGCTAGTGTAGCCCAATGGCGTCTGCTCATTCTAGGGACACAAAGAGCATCAAACCAATCGTTCAGGGTCTTGACGAAGAAGTCTGACCATCTTGCAGGTAGGCGGCCACGTGGTCTTTTGATGCCCCATGGAATCCAGTCGGTAACCTCTAGTCCAGGGGTCCTCTCTAAATCTCATTACTTGTCCAGCCCATCTGATATTCGACACCTTGGCAAATGAGACCGCTTCACTGATTCTTGATCATTGATGGAGGTTGGAACGCGGGATTCTTTCTCTCATTTGAGTGAAGCATGATACTTCAAGCATAGCTCTTTTGATTCTTCTCTGGGAGACCCGAATAGCGTTCTCATCCTGTTTTCATAGGGCCCAGGTCTCTGAGGCATATGTTAATGCAGGAAGAACAGTGGAATCGAAAAGATGTGCCCAGAGCCGGAGGTTCTTCGTCCTCTCAACTATTTCTTCCACGCTCTTAAAGGTGTTACAAGCCATTCTCTTCCTCCTGCGCAACTCAGGTGCCAGGTCATTTGTCATGTTGACTTCTTGACCTAGGTACACGTAACTGTTGCATTCGGAGATGTTCGTTCCATTGAGAGCGAATGGAACGTCAGGAACAAAACTGTTTCTCACAAACATTATCCTCGTGAGATTCAGTCGAAGTTTGACCTTTCCACACTCACGGTCAAAGTCGGCCAGCATTTGTGCTTCTTGGCTAATGTTTGGTGTTATTAAAACAATGTCATCAGCAAAGCAGAGGTGGTGTAATTGCCGACCATCAATCTTCACTCCATTCCTTCACATTCTACTCATTGCATGACATTATCGAGGGTGGCACTGAAGAGTTTTGGTGAAATGGTATCACCCTGCCGGACCTTTCTCTTGATGTCAGTGATCACTTCCCTGTAGAATGATGAGATCCTGGTAGTGAATCTGTAATACAGCTCACAGAAGATCGTGATATATCAAGTTTGAACCCTGTGTTTGGCTAGGGCTTCGATGACTGCTTCCATCTCAACAGAATCAAAGGCTTTCTTTAAATCAATGAACGTTAGACAGAGTGGCATCTTGAACTCCCGAGAAACCTCAATGAGCTTGGTTATCATGTGGATATGGTCGATCGTGCTGAATCCTTTGCGGAACCCAGCTTGCTCGCATGGTTGTCCTTCATCTAGTGTTCTGCCAGTCCTATTCAGGATGATTCGAGTGAACAGCTTGTAGATGACAGACAATAGGCAGATTGGGCAATAGTTGCCAATTTCGTGGATGTCTCCCTTCTTGTACAGTAGTACAGTACTGCTGGTTTTCCATTGGGATGGAATCTTGCATTCAGACAGGTAGCGTGTGAAGAGCTGAGCCAGTATATTGAAGAGTACTGACATGTTGGGAAATTTGTCCTGTCCTTAAGATAAGCTTTTTTGAAGCTTTAGTACATTTACACAATGGAATACTATGTAGCTGTCAGAAAGGATGAAGTCATGAAATTTACATACAAGTGGTACTACATGGAAAGTATCATGCTAAGTGAAATGAGTCAGAAAGAGAGGGATAGACATAGAAAGATTGCATTCATCTGGGTAACATAAAGTAACAAAATAGGAGACTAACACCCAAGAATAGCTGAGATAAGTACCAGGAGGATTACTCCATGGCTTTAAGGACAGTTGCACACGCTAGGGGAAAAGGCAGCTCAGATAGAGAAGGGAGCACCAAATAAAGGGTGTTGGGAGGTTCCTCTTAGGATGGGAAATGCATGATGAGAGTAAACTATAGGAACAAGATTGCCACTCAATGTCTCTTTTGCAAACCACAACACTCAAAAGGAGAGAGGTAACAAAAGGGAAAGCCCTGCCACCATGGTAGGGTGGGATGGAGGGATGGGGAGTGGGAGGGATACTGGGACTGCTGGTAGTGGAGAATGGGCACTGGTGGAGGGATGGGTATTCGATCATTGTATAACTGAAACCCAAGCACAAAAATTTGTAAGTCTACAACTGTGCCTCATGGTGTTTCACTAATAAAAATTTAAGGGAAAAAAATAAAAAAGATAAGCTTTTTTGTTTCATCTGGGACACCCCAGACGGGGACTGGTGAGCCTACTACCCTTCCAAACAAATACCTTGAATTCAAAGACCGCCATAACCGAATATCTGCCATGCTCACAGCCAGACTACACAGGGTCAAGACAAGCCTTATCCAGTAATGAATCTGTTGAAAAACTCAGGTATGTGGGTTTTGTGACCAAAATCTCCAGGCTCTCACAGAATTGGAAATGGGCAGCCTTCCCCAATTTCCCTGTTCTTCTGGGAGCCTGGAAGTTATGCCCATGAATTACCTTTGTCTCCCTATAAGCTAATTATTCAGTCAGGCCATGATCCAGAAACTCACAAATAAATCTTGAAAGAGATCATCAATCTGCAGAAATGCCTCCTGACCCCAAAGTCATCATCCAGTTAAAAATGTAAATTCAGCTAAATCACCCCATTCAAAATTTTAGAATTCTGACATATCATACTCTTATGCCTTGATATATCATGAGTAGAACACCACATTGGATGGGATGGAAAGCAGAAGGCCACCAAACTTGATTAAGAAAATATTAACACAAAAAGTTTAACCTGTAACAATATGTAGGTTGTCTCTTATGCAAGGGCTTGATTGCTCCAGGGTGAGTTCCAACAATCTTCACGCACTTTCTTCTAGGGAAATATTTTTTGATAATTTTTGGCAAATTATTCATAACAGGCAATACAAAATTGTTAGTTCTTGATTGACTGATCAGTCTGGAGCACTGATTGACTTTTGCAGCTCCCTTTTATTGGGTTAATGTCAAAACATCTAGCATGCCTCACAGTACATAAGATCAATATACATAAGATTAAAACACCTAATGCACATATTATTTTGTAGCCCAATGATACACAAACTTCCGATGAAGTAAATCAGACCACCTTGTAAATCTTTACTTCACTTCCCATATATTCCACAGCAAAATCTATGCAAGTTTACATAATAGTCCAGTAAGGTATTTGTTTAACTTTTATCCAAGCATAGCACAGTTAATCTCTAACAAAAAGTGGCTGCACTGGGACATGCTGACCCCAACCCAGTTCACTCAGAGTTCCTAGCTGTTTGCAGCTATGACACGGTTTTGTTTTTAAGGCAGCATCCCCAGAACTTCCTTATGACTCTGGTCAGACTTCAACACAAAATAAGTTATGTAGGGCCTGCTATTGAGGCAAGTTTGGGTGTTGGTTGGGGCAATTGGAAGTGATGGTGGTAGGAAGGTGTAATGGTGGGGGATTGGTGTTGGAATATTGAATGTAATAAATCATCATGAACAACTCTATACAAATAAGATAATTTTTTTAAAAAAATTAAAATATGCTAGATTTTTTTAAAGAGAAGCTCCAAAGTTGGCTTCAAGGCTATGATTTTCCTAAGCTGTTGCCTATTTATAAAGTTCTGTATCATTCCTTCAAATCCAAATTCTAATCTAGCTAGGTATAGTATTCTTGGTTAGGTATTTATTTTATTAGTAAGTTTTTGTAGGAGTTCCTTCCATACTATTCTGGCTCATAGCGACTCATTTGATAGGACTGAAGTACATTTTATCAGATCTCTTTTGTATGTAAGCTCCTTTTTTGATCTTGTTGCTTTCAGTATTCTGTCTCTTTGTATTTTGCCACTTTGAATATAATGTGTTTTATGTTTTCCTTGTTGCATTACTTTTTGCTTGGACCTTTTCAGGAATATGTGAAAAGTTGCTGTTTATCTTGTTGAAGAAATATTGTTAGATTTTTGCAAAGAAGTGGGAACTAAGACTAAAATGAATTTGCTAAAATATGCAGTGCGTCGCACAAACACAGTTGTCAGTGGATTGACATTTTTATTCTTCTTGACTCATATCCACCTGTTCCTGCTGTATTCAGTTTTATCCTATTTTATTGAAACTTGCATTCTCTTACTACCATTTTCTGAAGTATAATTGATGTACCAACTTGGCAAATGAGCTTATTGAATCATATTGGGGAATGTCATGTGTGTTAGAAACAGCAAAGAACTAAATGAAAATACAGCCTCGTGCACCTATGAAATCACTTTTACTGGACTATAATTTTGTTCTTTGTTAAGTTTTCTTCTAAGAATATTTTTCAGACTTTGCATTAGCCAAACAGAAAGATTGAGTTCATGTTTTAAGTTTTAGATACTAGAATATTCTACTTTCCCGTCTTACTTCCCTCCTTCCAGGAACCCCAGTTAGCACCCCCACTCCCATGTATATGTATATGTATATGTATATGTATATGTATATGTACATGTATATGTGTCTATGTGTTCATGTGTATGTATATTCATATATACATTGTGTATATACATATTTGTATATAGACACACAGACACAGAATCACAGACAGACACAAACACACCCTATGTTTTGTACTGTCTCTCGGGCCTCCTAAGTATATATTTTGAGTATAACTTTAGATATCTATTTAACCACCACTTCCCTTTTCTTTTTTACAGAAAGATGTAGCACTTAAGCCTCAGGAACGAGTGGAGAAACGCCAGACCCCTTTGACCAAGAAGAAACGAGAAGCACTTACCAATGGCTTGTCCTTTCACTCCAAGAAGAGCAGGCTCAGCCACCCACGCCACTACAGCTCAGACCGAGAAAATGATCGCAATCTCTGCCAACACCTGGGGAAGAGAAAGAAAATACCGAAGGGATTCAGACAGGTGAGGATGCATGCATTGGTTTTTTTCCTGTGGCTTCAGAATACCTTCTCCTTTAGACGTCTGCCCCTTTGTGGTTCTTTCTGATAGGTGGAGAAGATACTACTCTTGGTGAGATCCTGGAGGACTCTGTTACCTCTGAAAGTACACATTAACGCTGACCATAATGTTTTCATTATAATTCAAAATTTTAGCATGATACTAAAGTCTCTTGACTGCTGCATAGTAGCAAAGCTTGATGTTTAGAGGCGTTCAGGGGAGATCTGACCGTAATCTTAGTAGTTCAGAGTAGACTGGATTGTAGACTGGTGGAGATGTCTTCATGATTGGAATAAGTATGTTTCCTCACATCTACTCTGAATTTCAAAGTTTAGAGGTGCTAAAGATGGTTGTCTTTGTGAAAGCAATGGATGTTTCCAGGGAAGTTTAAATACTGCGGCATGTGTGAGAGCAGTGGTGACAAAATTAATTGCTGTTGGTTTCTTCGTTCTTGTTCCATGTAAGTTTGGTAATGAGGCTTTATAGTCTTTTAATACTCGGGTTTAAGTGATCCACAGGAAAATAGTGTGCTTAGTATTTTTGGAGTCCTCCTGTGGAGGGCTGGAGCGATAGCACAGCGGGTAGGGCATTCGCCTTACACGCGGCCAACATGGCCGACCCGAGTTCGATTCCTCCGCCCCTCTCGGAGAGCCCGGCAAGCTACCGAGAGTATTTGATATGCCAGACACAGTAACAACAAAGTCTCCGATGGAGACGTTACTGGGCCCGCTCGAGCAAATCGACGATCAACGGGAGGGCCTTTACCTTTACCTTTACCTGCCTGTGGAAATTCCCAAATTAAATAGATTAATAATAAGAAAAGCTGTTGATAGCAATTTTTATGCACTAATCTGGAGGCCTTACATCATGAGGAGTTACTTGTGTTCTAAGTTGTTGTTTTTTTTTTTATTAGATCGCTGGACTGGATTGACTCTCACTTAATGGAAATAGAGGAAGGGAGTGGGTTCCCAGAGCAGGTGCTTCTAATTAGAAGGGGATCAGTGATTTCCAGTTCACAGATGTTTCTCTGCAGAGGGGGCAGATCTAGACACATTTATCTAGTGCATGCTGTGTAACAGTCATTCAGCAATGGAGCTTGCCTTACATAATAGGTAATTCTTACAAAACATCTGGTTAGTGGATGCTGTTTTGGCTGTTTTATAGATGGGAGTCTTGGGACTCAAATAGAACATGACTTTATTAGACTAATTAGAATTGAGGACCATAGCCATGGTTTAGGCTTCAATTTGAATAATTCTCTGTTTTCCTTATTATTTCGCTTCTCTTGCATTAGACAAAGGTTAGGCATGAAGACACAGATCATAGGATGGAGGTGGGGTCTACAAGGTTTGCTAAAAATAATGTAAGATGAAATTTTTGTTACTGGATTTTTTGTTTTTGGAATGATTTTTGGCAGAAGAAGAAACAGTATAAATTCTTGAGTTCATAGAGCATAGAAAAATTTGGAGTGTTTGAAAACACTCATATTTGACTGTACATATTTATACAGCTGTTCATCTAAGTTTTGGGCAGGGATTGGGGTGAAGGAGAATGGACTATATGCTCTATGAAAGATGATGTTTCTCTGGTGAGGAAAGCACCACAGGAACTTCTGGTGATGAATGGTGGTAGTATAAAAGCCACCTTCCCCATGCTTTCTCTTCCAATAGGGTAGGGATTTTTTGTTGTTGTTGTTTTGTTTTTCTGTTGTTTCCCTGAAATTCTGCTGTTTTTGTCCTCTATTGAAAAATCTTATGACTCTCAAAGTTTAAGGATTATATTCTCAAATTAAATTAGCTTTTGGTTCAGTTGGTTAATCTGCGGTTTACCAATCAAAGCTACCATGTTTTAGGAAGAGAATCAGAAAAGCAATAGTTTAACTCACTCTTTTCAAATCATGAAGAAGAATCGTATCTTTGGACCATCTAAGAGGGTTTTTTTGCCAAGTGTTTTTTTAAAAAAATTTAACTTGGTGCTAAAATATACCATCCAAGTGTTAAATTTTTTTAATATGAGGATAAGCAGAAGTTGGTAATTGAGATAAAGCTTTTCTGCTGTATTTAGAAAAGAAGATATGCTTTTAGGAAGCCCTTAACCACTCTCTACTTCCAGTCCTCTGTGTAACTTTGTGCTGTTTCCTCTGAGTTTCTTGATTCTTTTGCTTAATGAATATATAGTTATGTAATATTTCCAAAATGTGCACAAGAAGGTCTGTAAGTCATTCAATTTTGAGGTCAAAATTGATAGACTTGTAAGGAGAGAGATACATCCCTTGTGGAGAGAAAAGCCGAGCTAGTGGTGTGTCAGCCTACTTGTTTGACAAGAGCCATCTGTCCTGTGATGATTGCTAACAGGTAACACATTATTTTATGATCATTATAGATATTCAAAGGTTTGTGCTAACTATGTTTGAGATGACTTTCCTATCCTGTTAGATGTCTGTCACTGTCAAGTCACTGTCCTCCCGTTGTTCATCGATTTTCTCGAGCGGGCCCAGTAACGTCTCCATTGGAGACTTTGTTGTTACTGTATTTGGCATATCGAATACGTCACGGGGAGCTTGCCAGGCTCTGCCGTGCGGGCAAGATACTCTCAGTAGCTTGCCAGGCTCTCTGAGAGGGGCGGAGGAATCGAACTTGGGTCGGCCATGTTGGCTGTGTGCAAGGCAAATGCCCTACTGCACATTATAATCCTCCCTCCTGCCTTTTCCTTTATCAGATAAAGTAAATGAATCTGACCATCTTGCCTGGGAGGGTAGAACCTTGATGAGAACTAGGAGAGAATTTCTAAATAATTACATCATTGTTTAGGTCCTCATACTGAGGGAGTTCTAATCTGAAGAAATATAGATGAAAGAAGGCAGTAGGAGGTGAAAACTTTAGTCTTTGTTTTTAACTTGGTAAGAGTAGGTTCGGTTTACATCTTATTAGGAAATGGTACTTCCTGAGCAGGCAACTTAATGCATATTTTTCTTCCCATTATGGGAAGATGTTATTCCTTAGTGGAGAGGGAATAATACGATTTTTTCTCCCTGGGAGTCTGTTGGAGGCAACTAATCTTTTTACTGTGAAAGTGTAATTACACACTTTTATAAAAGAAATATGTAGTTCTAAAACCAAACCACTTTTCCTTCTCCTGCCTGATTATAAAACCTCAATTCTCATGATGTTTATCCATGCTATTAAATGAAAGCTTTTTTTAACTTGCAGTTAACCACCCTCATGAAACTTATTTGTTAAATTATGTTTTTAAGTAAAATACTGCCTCAGAAGACAGTGATCTGACAACTGTCTTGTAAGTGGTTCTACGTTTTTATATAGCAAACTCTTACACTTATTTTAGGGGGTGGGAATGAATGGGGCCCTCACGAGGTGCTCACGCAGCTTATTCCTGGCTCTATGCTTAGGTACTCACTGCCGTATGGGGGTATCAAACCAGGATCAGCTGCATAGCAGGCAAACCCCACACTATCTGGTCACAGATTTGAACACTTTCTAACTTCCAAAGGAATTTTTTAAAATATGGAAACTTTTTAAAGAAATACAAATATGAACACATAAACTTTTATATGAAAGACTATGTGTCTTTCTGACTTCCCTCCCCCCCAGATATATTTATCTTAAACAGAACTATTTGCTACCAGACATCATATTAAAAGGATGTTTTGACTCCTTTTTTTTTTCTTCAGGTGAGAGTTATCACTCTTACCTGCTCCTTCTTAGATTTTTGAGTAGAAAAAAGAAAGCACATTCTTTATTCTCTAATTGAGGGACTAAGTTATGGTGAAACCTCTGAAAAACCCAGTGGAGTCATGTGTCATCAAAACTGCTGGCCAAATTATGACTTCCTCAGAAGAATTTGGAAACCTTAACCCATTCTTGGGCATTGAGTGCAGTTTTCTCTCATATTTCTATGTCTAACTTTTACAAGTAAGCAATGAGGAAAAGTTACTGAGATTAATGGTATGCTCCAATTTGGCTCTGAGTGGGCATTTCTAAGTCTCCATTTTCTGTCCTTTCTCTTGGTGTTGTAGTATGAGCTGAACAGGAGGGAGCTAGCATAAATAAGTGAAGTAGGAGCCATCTTTAGACTACATGAACTCTTCTAAGAGCCACCACGAAAGAACATAAAATAATTTTAGAGTCTCCCTCTTATCTGAAGGTTAAGAGCCCACATGTTGTTAATTTCATGCCAGAACTCTAATCTTAATGGTGAATAGGACCTCTGACTTTAAGATCTTCATATAAGTTTATCTGCATAGAATTTGCTTATAAAAATTGGAAATTTGCTCCCTATTAAAATTTAGGACAGTGGGGCTGGAGCAATAGCACAGCAGGTAGGGCATTTGCCTTGCACACGGCCAACCTGGGTTTGATTCCCAGCATCCCATATGGTCCCCTGAGCACCTCCAGGGGTAATTCCTGAATGCAGAGCCAGGAGTAAACCCTGTGCATCACCAGGTGTGACTGTGACGTCCCCCCACCCCCCAAAAGAGTAAAATTTAGGACAGTAACATCAAACTGGGTAGAAGGTTTGCAGCTGATATTGTTGATATCAGTGCTATTAAAAAATTGAACATTACAGATCTAAAAATGTATGCTGATTTCTAAGATGATGAGGGACTGGTAAGAGCCATGCCTTTAAAATTACAGATGTTTTTAGAGCTGTTTTTCACATCCGCTCTATTGATACTTCTGGCTAGCCTTAATTGTAGTAAATGCTGGTGTCCAACTTTTAAAGCACTTTTTTTTCCTACTCATCCAGATAGAGCAATATATTTCTGCTTATTGAGAGTGTTTACTTGTAGAGATTGACCCTTTATTTCTGTGGGACTGAGCCAGATTATCTAAGGAGTTCTCTGTGACATCTGTTACTGGTAAAAGTTAGCTTTCAAAGGATGCTATATAAAGGAAAGCTTTGATTAAACATATCCAGTTGCAGTCATAGTAATGAAGTCTGCTAAT